GCGCCCGGGCACTGACAGCCAATTCAACACGAAAGCAAAAATTAAGGATATTCTAATCAATTGTTCCGTTTTCAACTTAATGCAAATCCACTTCTGCTCCCAGGATGAGTGCTGTCTCAGCACATATCGCCCAGAAGCGACCGCGTAATGTGCCACAGCTGGACGACTTGCAAAGTTTGTCAAAACCACCCAGCTCCTACACAGAACGGAAGATGCTCAGATGTTGTGTTTGATGATTAACGTGGGTATTTTTTTCTTCTCTGGACTTGCTAGACTGAAGAAATTTGTGATGATGCCAGCTGCAGGATATTTGATTGTCAAAGCACACACAAGCGACTGGCTAAAGTTTTGTGCGAGCCAAATAAATAACAGATCAATTGTGATGTTTTTATTGTGCAATGGAACAGGTCTGTAAAACACAAGACCAAGTATTGAGGAGAAATATGAAAGCATCTAATGTATTCTTAATCACAGACATTCCCACTACCTCAAAATTATAAATCCATAGCTGAACACTTGTCTATAAATTATAGATTATATATAATATAAACTTTCATGTAATTCTAAAAATGTATCTGAATTAAAAACTTACAAGATCTAGAGGCATTGGGAAGTCCGGAAATGCCTTTACATGCCTCTCTCCATACTCATACATCTACATTCCTTCCAAAATCCGTTCTCCGAATGGGAAGGAAGCTTCTAAAAGAAAGGGACCTTGACTCCTCCATGTCTTTTGAACATTTTACCCATTACCTTCTAGGTATGAAATGCCTGGCAAAGTACCCTCGCAGTCAGGACTGCCCGCTTGCCCACGCAAACTGTTATTCACACTGTGAAGTTCCTACGCCATCATTTCACAAGATAAATCTAGTCCAAACTCAGGCAGACCTATTCGAGTCAGGTTCTAGCTTTATCCTTGCGCTACTTTTCTGCTCTGCTTGCACTTCAGGTGCATGTGCCAACAGTCCTTTTGTGGCATGCCCGCAATCCTCTTCTCCCCTTCACTTTTAATTTGGAAGCTGAACTTCATCTGCCAGTTGCTTGCAGGGAATTTGACAGCAATTGTCCCACCTGCTGCCTCCAAACCTCATCCTTTATTGCAGAAAGGAAGAGGAAGCCCATCTAGGGGACTCCAAAAACGTCCCCAGCGCTGAACATTTCACTGCAGCAAACCGTGAAGCAGCCCATAAGCAAGAGATTCCACAGGACACCTCGAACGGCTGCTCCGTATGACCTGCTTGATGGAAGGTCAAGCCTAGGAAATTCATGCAGAGATCAAAGAACCACCACCAGACTGACAGTCAAATGAAGTCAACCAAATCTGATACTTTTTTCACTAAAATTTGATAGGAAGTTGAAATAACTTCCTACTAGAAGAGTAGTATATTTGATAGGGTTCTACTGATTCTATTGAATTTCCTAGGCTGTGATCAGCTTCATTACGTGAAACATGTGAAGTGTTTGTGTGGCAGCTTGATCTTTTTCTGCATCCCTGACTCTAATTGCTCCAAAATGGTTACAAGGGAGGGGGAAAAAAAAAAAAAAAAAAAAAAAAGAAGTGGCAAGCTCTGAGTATTTCACAATATTTCCTTATTAGCTACAGCTACATGATCCCGTACCTTTCAAGATGTATTACACTGGATCAAAGACGTAAATGTTCCTGGATGGCAGTTTAAAGAAAAGCACATTAAAATGTAACTGTTACTTTGCCCGTAAGAAACACGGATCCTTTGTGGTCAACATTTGTCAGCTCTAACAGACAACAGAAGTCACTTCCATCATCCCAAATTCTTTTTCTTGGAAGCTGTCTTCAGGCAGGTGTCATAGCGCTGGCAAAGGACCTATTGAAAATTCAGAAAATCTATGGGGGTAATGAAATGAATCCTCTCTTCTATGGTTCTTGGATACTGTCAACATTCATCAATCGAAATGTTTTCTTCTGCACTTTATGAGATCTGGAATCTCCCCATTCCTGGGAGATGGTGTTCACAAATTTGCCATGAAACAGGAATTCCAGCCAGTCACTTGAACTTGTTGATAGGATAGACTGTACTTTGTGAATATACTTCTCAGAGGCTCCTCTATTTGAAGACTTACTGTGTTATCACAAGGCTCTTCATAACCCTCTTTGACTAGATCTAGAGAACCTAGGACATTTTTCTCATCAGGGCCAGTGACAGTCCTTGTGCAGGACCAGGCCATTATGCGGTTTCCTGTGCAAGGGCAGACATAGATAACAGCCTCATGTAAAACTGTTCTCATGCAGTTTCGAGGGCTGGCAAAAGCATAGACTGCTTTTGACACAACAATCCTTCTCCTGCTGTTTAATGAGACATAGGTAACTTGGCCAGGACCTGCTTTCCCAACCCCTTTAGTGTACCAGCATGACCGGCATACTGTTCTGGATGTAGAAATGCTCGTGGGTCCCTGGGAGCTTGCCAGCTCATCAGCTTCAGGATGTAAACAAACCCCTGCTCACTCAACACCTGCAGCACTGTGCCAAGCACAAGATAAGAGACGTGAGGGTTCAAAGTAGGGCTGAGCTTCTAAAAGAAGCTTCTTCGCCAGTTCAGTGCCCTCTGCAGAGGCCCAGGATAAAGGTCAAAACCCAGCAGTGTCTGGAGGAAATAAAAAAGTACAGCTAATCCTGCGAACTTCTCAATCCAACTGCTTGATCTAAACTTCGTCCCTCTTATTTAAACAGGTGAGCTGTATGCGCAGCTACTTGATTTTCCCCTGCCCTCCAGGGTGCTTGGGTCTGCCTAACTTGCTCCCAAGAGCTTTCCAGTCCTTTGGGCAAAGTCTTGGGACACAGTAGGACACAAAACAAGAAAGGCACAACTGACAGCAGAAAAGACCACTTATCTGCACACTTTTCTTTGCACTTCAGTCTTGCAACTTTAACATCAGCCTTTGCTTGTCCCTTAAAATTTGTGGATGTTTTGTAAGACAATTAAAATGTGCATTTGCTTGTAAGCAGTCAACAGGTTTGGCTGCGTGGATCTTAATTTCTTTCCATGTATTTGCAAACTTAACAGACCCTTCCATTTGTTTACGCCTGTGCTGTTTTCCATTCAGTTCTAACGTAACTAGAAGGCACAGTTGTGCCAAGAGATATTATTAAAGTAAAAAACAAAACAAACAAATAAAAAAGGAAAAGAGACAATTAATTGGCACCTCGTATCTCCTAGCCAGCAACACAGAACTAGTATTTTGTCTGACGGCAAAATCGGGTCTATTCCAATGCAATCTGTAACATTAATCACATTTGCTGTAATCCCATACAATGGAATAGTCCTCTCACCACCAAGTAAAGCGGATATTTTATAATCCTGTGAGAGATCTGTACAACATGCCCCATTGGGAATTCTATTTCACAAACCAGCACTGCAATTTACAGTTCATTAGGCATTAAAATTTTCATGCACGGTGTAGAGTAGGATGCATATACCCCCGGTGTGTCTCTTGACACTGGGCACACATTAGCTACTCTATGCTTTCTAGCTTTATGAGCCAGCAGAGAAGTTCACAAGGACAAATTTACATAAAATTCACACTGTGTGGGACACGATGTGCCAGAGCCACTCTGATGACACTTGCAGCATTTGCATCCAAGAGATTTTGGAAGTGATGCTGAAACCCGTTCGGCTTTCCAGACACGCATGCTCTTACTATATTGCTATGGTGTAACTGGAATTTCTGTCTGTATTCAGTTTTGCCAGGGCAGGACAGGACTGCATCGTCCAAGCAACATCCTCTTAATACCAAAGTCATCACAAGGAGAGAATATGGTACAAGGTCAGCCCAGACTGAAAATGCCAGAACCCTACAACTGCGTTATTGGACTTTACCCCAGGAACGTCAGTGCTGCTCTATTTTAGAAAAAACACTGGGGACAGAAAAGACTTTCAGGCCTCAGGTCAGGATCTGCAGATACTTCAAAATATCTACGTACCAACCGTCATTTACACACCACAAGCAGAAGTCGTCAGTAACACCTCCATTTTAGCAATTTTCTCAATGATCAGCAAGGGGAAAAATTCATACTAGTCAGACAGTTTTATCAAATTAATAAGCAAATAGAGGAAGGGCAATACATCTGAATCGCTGTATCTGAATATTAATGAAGCATTTAATAGAGTTTCTAAATTCAAATTTTTCCTTATTGGAAAAACTAATCTGCAGAAAGCACAGATAGAAATAAACTGAGGTCAGACTAGGAGATCAAAGTTTCTTTGAATTTGAAAGCTGAACTGCATGAAAGAAGTCCAGAGGTTGCCACACTGACCAACAGTAAGTCTGGTTTCATACAGTCTTTAATAATCTGAAAAAGTAGAATCAACAACACAGGGTTTAAAGAACAGACAGTTCTCTGGGAGCTTTATCAAAACAAGATGGTAAAGCTGTAATGAACCAGGTAAATGGGACGGAAATGAAAGGAGAACACATAATTAGTAATTCAAGCTAGGTAGCTAATCATTCAAGCAATGAAAAATCCAAAATACGGAGCTGAATTGGGAAGAAGATGCCTAGAAATCCATCATCCTGAAAAGCGGACGAGATGCAGAGAACAGCAATACATCTGTATGTAGCTGCATCAAAAAAGGTGGTTGGAAAAAAATGTAATTGATTGGCAGGTCATTTTACTATCAAGTCACTGATGAAAAAGGTAAACACGCACGGCATCAAATATAGCAACATACATATCTGTAACTAAACCTAACCATACAGGCAATCCTACACATTTAATGGACATAAGTTAAGCTTAACTATTGACAAACCAAGGATCCTAATGGGACCACTGACACTGCACCCAGTCTCATGACTCTAGTTTTTGACTACTTAGTATCAGAAATGCGTCTGTATACAGAAGATTATTTAGAGAAGTGTTATGAATAATAACACGTCACAATATATGCCAAAACAAGAAAGATCAAACATGTAAAGCTGAAGTAGCAATAATATATTGGTCAATAAGTGTTTTAAGTGTAAATGATAAGGATAAGAAGAGTTACAGTGGCCAAAGGCGGAACCAAGTAATGAGATCAGAGTAAGCAATGGAAAACTCGGGGCGAGTGTTTGAAAAAGCTTGGCAGTGCTACAACTAATTGTGCTAGGAAAAAGTCTTGCAGCGGATTTATTGGTTGTTTCACTGCTTAAATCCTTTAAAGTCAAACTAGGAGAATATTCTGTTGTTTTCAAATCTCATTTCAGATTTCTAAACTTGAAGAAAAACATAATGGACCCAATTCTACCCTCAGTTATACTTGCTCAACTACTTTCTGTAGTTAGAGAGTTACCTGGCCACAAACCAAAACAAGCTTTGGCAACATGTTCTTGAAAAAGAAACAGAAAACTTACTCAGTAAGAAAGGAATAGAGCAAGATTCATTGCTCTACCCTTGAATGTGTATATTGTAATAGGACACAGGGAAATCTGAATATAAACAAGCAGAGAATGGTAACTCCTATACAGTATCAGAAGTAAATGCTTACTGAATGACAAGCAGTCAGCGAAGGAAAACATGGGAAAGTAAACGTGTTGTGCTTAAGTAGCGTACATAAAAGAGCTTGCTCAGTATCAGTCAATCCATGTGGAAATATCACATTCCCAAGGACACTGAGATCCAGAATATTTTGCAGTGTAAGGATCCTCAACCAAATAAAGCAGAATTCAGTAGGTTTGAATCAGAAATGCTTCTCATTCTAATGAAGCTATCATATCCATTTTATTATCTGTACAAGTGCACAGAGAAAACATTGGATAATTTTTTTTTTTTTTTTTTTTGCAAGAAAATATTTGCAAACAGAAAACCACTTTTCTGAATGGGTTTCAGAAGAGGTACTGCAGCTCAAGACACTTAGTTCACTTTAAGGAGGAAATATTTCCTATAAGCTTCTAGGCAAGCTGTGCCAAATAGCAAACCTCGTATTTTTATGATAAAGAGCATTTTCAATCAGAACGAAAACTTTGGGAGCATTCCAAGGATACTGCCATCTCAAAAGGGAAAGGAAGATGGAGTGTCACCTGAGAAGAAACAAGAATTTCCAAACCTCACTTGGGTCTGTTAGCATGAGCCATCCATTTTAACGAGATCTTAAAGTCACTGTGCAATGTTGAACATGCTATTTATTTTTTTTTATATAATTTCATCTTTTTTTTTTAGAAGTCACAGGTTTTTTCAACCCTTTTTGAACACCCGAGAAAGAAGGGCTCTAACCCACAGGGGCTACAGCCTATGAAATTTATGTATTTTTCCCTAGTAGTGCCAGAAAACAGTAAAACACACACATAGGCAGGGAAGATTTTAGACACTCAAGATTTTCTCTTCCTCAAAATTTAAATGTTGGAAACATTTATTTTAATTGATATTGATAATCTAAATCTCCACAGCAGCTTTAAAAACCTCTGCTGTAACAAAGCATGGCCACAGTTCAGAGATTCTGATAAGCAGAGCTTTTGCGTTAAGGAGCACAAACCTGTTATACTGTAAAACAGTGTTTTATTAATTACAAATAGTGTGTGTGTGTATATATATATAGTATATACCTATGATAGCTAACAAACACCCAAGTATCCAGCATCTTGAATCAAGCACGTTGGTGTTACAGTTCACATTTAACCAGACCCCTATATGTAGTATCAAGCAGTTTCTTCCCGGTTATCATTCTCTCTTTTCAGCCACAAATAGCTCTTTCTTTAAACCAAAACAGTTTCTAAAACATTAGCAGACATATATATATACACATATCTGAGTATTTGGTAATTTTTAAGGAGTGGGGGAAAATCCCACTCTGGTGTACATATGCAAGCAATCTCTCCTAAGTCTCAAGACTAAAGCATGTTGATCAGCATCATCTCCAAGTTGGACTGTGAAGAAATGCTACATCTAAAGTTAGCTAGAAAACCACATGGGACTGCAGCTTATTCCTTGGCAGGCATTTACTTTTCTGCTTTTTTCTTTTTTGTTCCCTGTCCAAATTCAATTTTGCTTAAAAGTTCTGGCCTGATTTGTGCAGTCTTTACATTTAGCAAGCCTCAGCTACTGTCTTCCAGGTTCTTGTCCAAGAGTGGGGCCTTGACTATTAAAAACCCCAACGAATCTACATCTTGATGATTTCAGCTGGCATTGCAAGATAATGCAGAGCAACACAGTGATGTAAAAGACGTTCTTGCAGTGCCAAGGAACAGTCCTCCAGACCAACTTTCCCAC